AGGCTTGCAGGGTATACCCTTTGGTTGGTTAATGATGCATGGAGGGGATTGTAACCATGGCAATGATACAATGTACAATAGAATGAATGTAAAACTAATGTTCTCCCATGTAAACTATCATATAATTCACAATAAAAACAATAAAAAAAAAATGATATCAGAGTAAAGAGAAAAGCAGTTTATTTAGAGTGAAGGTATAGAGAAATTCCAAAGCAGGTGACTTCGTTTCAGTTATAACGTATGCTCAGACTCATTGTCATTGAGCTTAAGTCAATTCCAACTCATAGTGTATCTGTAGTACAGGGTAGAACTGCCCCCATATGGTTTTCCAGGCTGTGACCTTTATGAAAGTACACTGTCACATCTTTTCCCCACAGATGATCTGAATCATTGAACTGTTGGTTAGCAGTTGCGTGCTTAGCCACTGTACCACCAGTACCCTTTTATTGTGCCACCAAAGTTACAAAAATATGAATAGGAAGTATCAAACCAGATATGGAGCTGGTGTGAAGTAGAACTCCAATAGTACATGGAAAACAGGTATAAAGACCCAGGGGGCAGGAGGAAATATATGTGTTTGGTAAACTGTAAGTAATACCATACTGCTGATGCGAAGAGTCCTGCTGTGGCACTGCAGGAAAATGTGCTGGATGGCAAGGTCAGTTTGAACCAAAAGGTAGACGGTTCAAACCCACCAGTTGCTCCTTAGAAACCATACACAGGTTTGCTATGGGTCCAAAACGACTCAATGCACTTTACAACAACAACAATGTAAAGAGTATATTAAGGCAAAGAAGCAAGAAGAGCAGTACAGAAGAAACTGACCCTAAACCTTAATTAAACAAGCATATGAAGTATGGTCATTACTCTAAATTCATGGATAGCTACTAAAGGCAGTGACCAATTCCTAACAGAAACATGAAGGATATATTAAGTGGAATAAGATTAGAGGTTGTTGCTCTTGTGAAGTGCCATTGAGTCGGTTCCAACCCATGGCGACCCTGCATTGGATTTCCGAAGAGCAGCTGATGAGCTTGAACCACCGATCTTGCAGTTCAAACAGCTTTGCATTAACCCACAGCACCATATGATTTAAATAATAGAAGGCTAAGTCAAAAAAGTATTGCTATAAAAATAATTTAAACCTTTATTAAACAAAAATATCATAATGCAGAACTGTTATTTCTGGACATCTCTTCCAACTAAATTTATACACTTCTGAAGAGAGTGTTTCCATCTCTCCGAGTCCTAGTATGGCGCTGCAGGCTAATGTGCTGAACTACAAGCGCGGTTAGAACTGCAAGTTCAGAGGTTCAAGCTCATCAGTTGCTCCTCAGGAACCTATCCAAAGTCACTATGAGTTGGAAGCAACTCAATGGCACTTAACAAGAGCAACAACCCTTTCCCAAAGAATTCTACACACTTTGATACACACCATGTCAAAATGACAGTTTGGGCATTCTCAAGGATTTTAAATTATGTTCTTTTAAATATTCTTTGAGTTTGGGAACAAAAATAAATCTGAGGAAGCAAGATCAGGGCTGTATGGTGTATGTAGTAAGGTTTCCCAATGAAATTTTCATAGGACAACCCTTGCTACCCTCAAAGAATGAGCAGATACCAAGAATTGTAGTGATGGGAGAAAATAAAAAATTCTCAGAGCAACTTTTCTGGCCATTTTTCTCAACAACACAGTTTTCAATTTTCTTGAAACTTCTGCATACTAAGCCCTCATGATTGTCTTGTATACTTCAAGAAACTTTATCAAGATTATCCCTTTGGAATCTCCCAAAACAGTTACCATAAATTTCTGAGCTGATCTCTCTGCCTTGAATTTAACTGGCTCAGGAAATCCTGTCGGAATTCACAAGATCCACAGTTCTAGCTTGCCAGACACTCCAAAGAAGAAAGATAAGGCTTTCTGCTTCCAAGAAGATTTAAAGCCTCAGAAATCCTATATAGGGTTGCTATGAGTCCAAACCAACTCATGGCACTTAACAACAACAACAAAGAAATGGAGCAGCTAAAGATAGGAGACAGATGGATTTCCTGATGCACCAAATATTGAAAGTTAGAAGGAAGGAATGAAAAACAGAGGGATAATTCCAACCAGGACGAAAACTCTACTTCTACTGACAAGAGAGGAATAACATTGGAGAAAAGAATGCATACAAACTATTCCTAAGAAGCTTCTTTGAGCCAGGCTCTATCTACAATGGGCAGGAGAGAGAGGCAAAGACAGAAATCCAATATTTTTCTTTTTGACAACCCTTGAAGGTATTATCCACATATTACATTCATCATTGTACTAAACCCTTGACCCCACCCCAAAAGAAATTTGCTCTTATTCTGTTTTATAAACACTCCAACTGAAGTTAAATAACTTCACCAAAGTTATTTAGATCACAATAACCAATCTTGGTATCCTAAACCAGGTGTGAATATGAAATCAGAGTGTCTTGCCACACATAGACACTGGCTGTAAGGATCTGGAGCTAAGTGTTGGTGAGAAATTAGAGTCAGTGAGTTCAGCTGGCTAGTGGGCCTTGGAAACTTGAGGTGAAGAAGGAATAATTACAAAGCTGTTCCAAAGTAGTAATATAATACTGCCTCAAGGTCACGAAACTTACCACATGATGGGGTAGCTGGAGTTGTACTTGCGAAGTACTGTGTAGACGGAATAAGAGCTGTAATGAAAAAAAAACAAAAACAAAAATGCAAATTATTAAAATTTTATTTTCAAATATATCTGCTATAGTCATTTTAGGGCAAGGTAATATTTAATGTTTTGACTTTGCAAACTGTAATGTCTATGAAGCTTGAGTTAACAGATAATTCAGGGTTTGTTGTGATGAATATGATGTTTTGATTTCATATGCTATAAACTAATGGACTTGACCAATGTTCCTTGTTGTTGTGATTAGGTGCCATAGAGTCGGCTCTGATTCATAACAACCCTATGTACATCAAAATGAAACACTGTCCACTCATGCACCATACTAACTATTGTTGTTACACTTGAGCCAATTGCTTCTGCCACGGTGTCGGTGTCACTCCATCTCACTGGGCATCTTCCTCTTTTTCACTAGCCCTCCACTTTACCAAGAATGATGTCCTTCTCCAGGGACTGCTCTCTCTTGACAACCTGAACGAAGTAAGGGGAGACAAAGTCTGGCCATCTTTGCTTTCAAGGAGCAATCTGGCGGTACCTCTTCCAAGACAGGCCTATTTGTTCTTTGGGCAGTCCACAGCGCTTTCAGTATTCTTTTCCAGCACCGTAACACAAATGAATCAACTTTTCTCTGGTCTTCCTTATTCAATGGCTGACTTTCACATATATATGAAGCAGTTGAAAATACCATGATTTGGGTCAGGTGCACCTTTGTCCTAATCTTTGCCCTTTTAACACTTTAAAGACCTCTTTAAAAAATGTTAATATACTTAACCTATAAATCAGTATATGATGGTAATGAAATCAAGACTTTCCTAGTACACGTCTGATTTGGGTGTACTCTGTTGCCAGCTTTTCATGCGACAAACATATTTTAAAGGTAACTCCTTGCTTAATCTCAATATAAATTTACATGCTTAATCTCAATATAAATTTACATGAGTCAGAACTGACTCGAAGGCACTTAACAACAACAACAACAATATAATTGTTTTAGGATGTAGTTTACACATTTGATAAGGAAAAAACAAACAAACACTCAAACACTTGGCAAGGGCTGCTTCATATTCTGATTTAACTTTTTAAAGTTATTTACACAAATATTGATGGATGGTAGTGTTGGTGTGCCGTGGTGTCGGTTCCAACTCAAAGCCACCCTGTATAGGGTTTCTGAGTCTGTAAATATTTACAGGAACAGAAAGCCTCATTGTTTTCCCGCGGAACTGCTGGTAGTTTTGAACTGGTGACCTTGAGGTTAGCAGCCCAACTTGTAACCGCTATGCTACCAGAGCTCACAAACACTACAGCCCAATTATTATTGTGCTTTCAATACATTGGGTAGTATCTTGAGTGAACATATGGATTCATCTGAAGAATTAGATTGTTGATGTTGTTAAGCGCCATCAAGTTGGTTCTGGCTCATAGAAACCCTAATGTACAACAGAACAAAACACCATCCACTCCTGTACCATCTTCACAATTGTTGCTACACTTGAGACCATTGTTGCTACTACTGTGCCAATCCATCTCTTTAGGGGATTCTTCCTCTTTTTTTGCTGTCCCTCCACATTACCAAGCATGATATCCTTCTCCCAGGACTGGTCCCTCCTGATAATATGTCCAAAATATGAGAGACAAAGTCTGGCCATCTTGGCTTCTAAGGAGTATTCTCGTTGTACTTCTTTCAACACAGATTTGTTTGCTCTTCTGGCAGTAAATGGTATCGTTAATATTCTTCTCCAACTCAAATGCATCAATTCTTCTATGGTAAAACTGGATAGATGTGCTTTGTGGAAGCTGAGAGCTCTGCTCATCTTGTTATTAGTTGGAAGACACTGAGGGAGAATGGTAGGCTTGCAAGCTCTGCTACTGCTGATTAATTTTTACAGACCAATCAGTTTCCATCGAGTCGACTCCATGTGCATCAGAGTAGAATTGTGTTCCATAGGGTTTTCAATGGCAGAATTTTGGAAGTACATCACCAGGCCTTACTTCCAACGTGTCTCTGGTGGACTTGGACCACCAACCTATCAGTTAGCACTCGAGTGGAGTAACCATGTGTAGCACTGAGAATTTTACCAATATCACGATTACTGTGGCCATCCCTTTCGAACTCCCTTTCCTCTCACATTTAGCTAGAATTCTTAGCCAGGCCTTTACTACTCACCACTTAGAATGAAAAGCGCCACTGATAGAAATGTTCTTTTCTTTGATAATTCCTGAACCCACTCTTAGAAAAAGAAATTCTAATATATTTGGTCATTTTTTTCAATGTTTCCATAAAACATAAAACAGTATGATGAGTAATAGCAGTAATAGTACATTAGCTGCTCTACTGCTAAAATAGATGAGTGTTGCTTTTTCACTAACTTCTATTCCCACCCTCAGGATTATAATATTTAAAACAACCACTCAAAGAAATAACCCAAGGCAGAACAAGTGGGGACCCGTGGGCCGTGAGCCCATCCCCAGACCCATGGTGATATGGCTGCATGATTGAGGGTAAGATTGTCACCTAAGGTTGTGGAAGTGCTTGGAAGAGCAGTGCTTGCAGAAATGATGAGGGATGAATCTGCAAGGAAATGAACATAGGATAAAAGTTAATGCCGTAGTCATATTGAAGGGTGAGGGAAACACCCTTGCTTTTAAACGAATAAAAGATTTCTCTAAAACGACCCTTTTAGATACCTAATATTTCATGTAATAATTTAAAGTAAATTTCAAATAAGTTGAAGGGAAACCCTTTATTCCTTGGTATATAACTCTTACTTTGTATGCAAACTTCCTGCAACTAATCCTTTCTCTTTTAATGTCAAGTCTTCTTGTTTTAGATGCTAATAAGTCTACTTTACCATTTTGTGATATTCATTACATACCAGGCTTTTTGCATATCCATTCCTCACAGCAATCTCAATGAAATGGGTATTAGCATATGCATTTTTACAGAATGGAAAACTGACACAAAACACCATTAACTTCCCCTAAATTCTTCTAGAAAGTTCTAGATTTTCATGTTACTCTCTGGCCTGTATACCATTAAAGCCTATCTTTCTTCTTTGCCATGAATGTTCATAATATTAATAATATAATAACATATGCCCACAAAAGTTGACTGACAAGGTTATTTTGCACAGTTTAGTAGCAAGCTGTAAAACTTTGCAAAACAGGATACCTGTAAATAATGTCTGGTGTAAAAGGAAAGAGCTGCAATAAAGTTTTCATTTCATTACCTAGTACCTAGAACACCTACAGCAACATAATCAAACCTGAGGAGATATCTCGGATGGTGGTGTTAGAGGTGTGTGGAGGTAAGGCAGCGGTAGGGCTGCTGTGTGCAGGGATGAGGGGCGCTATAGACGTGAGAACCATGTCTGCAGGTAAGGATGTGTTCCTCTCTCCTGGGGCACCTGCAATCAGAAAGGCCATCAGCACTGTTAACTCATTCCTACCACACAAGGACGCTGCTACTACAGCTAACAAGAACATGATCTCTGAAACTATTTCAAACAAGCACTTCTGTTACGCCGCATTATACATGTTGCACAGAACTGTGCAAAAATATCAAGGATCATGGGAAAGATGGGTTTAGAGGCATACCACTTAAAACCTATACAACTTTGTAAGTATATTGTTAAGTACCGTCGAGTCGGTTCCGACCCATAGCGACCCTGTACAGGGTTTCCGAGGGTGTAAATCTTTACGGGAGTAGAAAGCCTCATCTTTCTCCCGCGGAGCAGCTGGTAGTTTCGAACCGCTGACCTTACGGTTCGCAGCCCGATTCGTAACCACTACGCTACCAGAGCTCCTTATTTGGGGGAAAGACTTGGAACATCAGGAGAGAGGTAGGATAATGCAGAGATCAAGCCTCCTGGTCCAGAACTTCCCTGGTTGTTATTCGTTGCCACTGGGTCAATTCCAATTCATGGCAACTCCACGTGAGCAGAGTAGAGCTGTGCTTCAGAGGATTTTCAAAGCTATGACCTTTAAGAAGCAGATTGCCAGATCTTTCTTTGAAATCACCTCTGAGTGCATTCAAACTGCTCACATTTTGAGCAGTAGGGATGCTCTTAACCATTTTCAGCACTCAGAACTCAAGAGCTGTGCTAGGGGAACATTAAAAATGCACCCGAAAACAGTGGAGCTAGAGACTGGCATCCTGGTGCTGAGACCTCACAGATGGAAGGAAAACTCTGAGTTTAAAAGATTACATGAAGTTTGGCACAGTGGGAAGCACCATCTAACACATGCCAAGAGCTTCTCTTGCGGGCGCACCTCTCCTATGAGAAACCTTTGGGTATAGATGTTTCATTTTGAATTTCTTCAACTAGAACTGAATGGGTTCCTTCTATGAAGCAACTGAGCTCGGTGGTTTTTCTTTTCTAACTCAAGGATACTATTGCACCTTTGTTCTTTAGGCTCCCTTTACCAGGAAGAAAATGTCAAAAAATTTTAACCCAACAAGCCTCTACATTTACTGTCATTAACACCTTATTTTATAATCACTTAGGGTTAATTAGTATTACAGAATGTGGTAGCAGAAAAAATTGCATATTCAATTCATTCAGAACTTGTCAGGTTTCAAAACACCTAATGCATGGGATGTCTTTCCCCAGATGCCATGCACAGAATTGCAGCATCATTAGTTGCCTTCTAGATAACAAGCACTATATTATTCGCCATGTTGTTGTTGTGAAATGCCATTGAGTTAGTTCCAACCCATAGTGGCTGCTAACCTCAAAGTCAACAGTTTGAAACGATCAGCCCATTCCATGGGAGAACCATGAGGCCTTCTGCTCCTATAAAGATTTACAAGGTCAATATGACCACTACCACTGCTATAACCACTACCACCACCATAGGGTTTCCAAGGAGCAGCTGGTGCACTTGATCCACCAATCTTGTGGTGCAAACTGACTTTGTAGTCTAGCACATTAATCCACAGTGCCATATGAGGTCTCCATGCTATTTGCCATAGCAAATGCAAAATAAGTACAACCTGGCCCCTATACAAGCTTATTTTATTATTTCACCACTCAAGATCTCTGGGGTCATCAGTACAATGATTTAAAAGACTCTGTCATTTGCAGTGAGATTCTTGGTGTTGCAACAGAGTGATTGCTGTAGAAACATTCTGCAAAGGGCTTTGATATGAGCACGCAAGCATCCTCCTACTACAAACGCACATAGCTCATAATGCCATACACAAGCTCCATTAGAATCAGGAATGTGTCCTACAAATGGCAGACTTTGATTCTCAGCTCACTTAACTCCACTGGACCACAAGGTCGGTTTGAACCACAAGGTTGGTGGTTCAAACTCACCAGCCGCTCTCCGGAAACCCTATGCAGGGTCGCTATGAGTTGGAATTGACTCAGTGGCACTTAACATCAAAAACCCCCAATATAATACCAAATCATAGAGACTTAAGACTCCAGTAAATAACATAAAAATCAGTTCTAGGTTCTCAGAGGAAAGCCCCACAGAACAAGGGGAGAACTGACATTCTGCAAGGTATTAGAATCACCTGGGTTTGTTTTGGGCCATTTTCCTCTTTCTTTTCCTATTCATTCTCCACACCCCTGAGTCTTCACTTTGTCCATATTCCCATGCTATTCTGTGACCCTGGATTCCTCTCAAGGAAGTTTCCCAAATTCCCTTTCTTTCCTATTCACATGCAAACTTTATTTTCCTCACTTTGTAGATCATTTCAAGATGGAGAGTAGGAGGGATCTTCACTAACTTAATTAGGTTTATTAATCCTATTAGATTTGTAATTAGTAAAATTAGCCTCTGTGAGCAGATGAATTCCCTAAGCAGGCCAAAGCAGATCAGTGTGTGTGACCATCAACCTCCCAGAGGTCAGTATACTGTAGTTGTTTTTCTGCTTCTTTCCATCCACAAGTTTTGAGTCTGTGGATTTGCTAAAAGCTCCTGATTTTTTAACTACAATTCCCATGACAGCTGGAGTTTGAGCAATAAGCTGCTTGCTTCAAATATACAGCATTATCAGGGTGACCCGTACAACCATTTCCTACTGAACACAAATTCTCAGACTCCTTGTTCCTTATGATTTTAGCTCCACTGAAAGGAACTTTGTTACATGGTATCTATCTCTGGTAGTGTAGTGGTTATTCTAGCTGCTAACCTCAAGGTCGGCAGTTTGAAACTACCAGCTGTTCCGCAGGAGAAAGATGAGGCTTTCTGCTCACGGAAAGATGTGCAGCCTCGGAAACCCTGTGCAAGGTCACTATGAGTCGGAACCGACTCCATGGTACTTAACAACAACAACAGACATATCCTACGAATGACTGTTGTTGTTGTTGTTAAGTGCCGTCGAGTCGGTTCCGACCCATAGCGACCCTGTACAGGGTTTCCGAGGGTGTAAATCCTTACGGGAGTAGAAAGCCTCATCTTTCTCCCGCGGAGCGGCTGGTAGTTTCGAACCGCTGACCTTAAGGTTCGCAGCCCGATTCGTAACCACTACGCTACCAGCGAATGACTAAAAGCATGGAATTTCAAATTCATACACTAACAAGTCCTACACGTTGAACAAATGTTTGGATTTCCTCACACCGTTCTTACATACAGACAGTTGTCATTTGCTCTCGCTATTTACATAAATCTAAAGGACTCCCAAACCTGTTGTACCATTCCTGCCAGGAGCAGGGGTGAGTGCGGTAAGCGCAGCCATGCTGCTGGGTGTGTGATTGTCAGATCCGGCAGAGGGCGCTTGCGAGTTTGCGTGCGTGGAAGGGTTAGGCGTCCGTGCTGGGGGAACACCTAAGATAAGAAAGTGAGATCATTATATCAATCTCCGTCCGATTCTGAAGAGAAGTTTAAATACTAATAGGTTATAAACGGAAAATTGCTATTACAGTTTACCCAATTGTGAAATGACCCAATCTATTTAAATGAGTTTGCTAGTATTTAGGATCTTCAGCAGGAAGGTGTGTTTACACATCCCTGTGATTGTGACTTCCGATCTCCCACTCCCCCTGCCCCAGGGCTGTGTACGTCCATAGAGGATTCACATACCCATGTTTTGTTTTTGTTGTTATTTTTAAAACACTATGAGATGTTTATTTTCTCCATACAAACTGAAAATTAAGTCATCTCTTTGTATGTAGAATAAGAAGGCCACACCCCACATCAATACACTAGGGCATATTACAAATTAAAATTAAAAAATAAAATGTTTTTAACCATGATATTGGCAGAGTGCTAAAAGATCTAGTGTTGGATAGGTGTGTCGAAACATCTCATTCTGTCTCCCCACCCCCACCATCCCCATATACCAGATCATATGCATGGAGTCTGGAGGATCTAAGAGTACAGTAATGATTAGAGTTGTATCTTCTAGGATTAGAATTTGGAATCATGGATTTTAAGTTTGTGTAAACATATACACATATACACATCTATGGTATATATATATATATATACATATATACTTCAATATTGATAAAGTTTTTCAACACATGAACTTCTTATAAAAATAAGAGCAACATTATATTAATTAAATACATATGAATGTTCATTGTAAGTGTTTTCAAGAAAAACACATTTTGAACAGTGTGGGATGAATGGGTGGGTGGGTGTGAAGTACAGATATGGAAATTTTAAATTGGAAAACCCTTGGTTGACATTACTTAGGTGACAACAAAGTTAAACATGAAATGTTCTACCTGATCTTCACCAACTTTATCCACACATTCTTTTTTAAAACCTTGGGGCAATGAATCCAAATGCTTACAGTGTTTAGATTCTAGATTTTATTCTGATAATGGCAGCCATGGGAAAAAATGTTGTCTTGATTAAGGACACAATCCTATAATTACTATAAAAAGGAATGAACTACTTACTATGACTTATAAACATCAACAAGGTACCTAAAACACTGCAATGCAGCATAAAAGAATTTCTGTGATGGCTTTTTTACATGCTTGTTTTTCAAACTAATATTAATGAAACTACTGAATAGTTTAGAGAATAGTTTAAATTTAGCCTTTTTGTCTTTTGTTTGCTTGCTTGTTTTCAGCATATATCTAAAAGCCTCTTTGCCTCGGAAAGTATGATATAGTGCATTGCTTCAGAAAAGGTATAAACAGCTCTCTTCATCATCCATTTTTCAACTGACTACTCTGGCAGATCTAGTACTAAGCATAAGATGAACAGATCACTGGCATATCGAGTTCTCAAGAACATTGGTGGCCTTTTCTGGTGGAAATCTGTTATTTCACAATGAACATCATCACATTGCCTTTAATTCTACTATTTGGACTTCACAATGTTGATTAATTTTTTGGAAAACAATTTAATAGTGCAAATACTCCTGGATGAACTTCTTTATGAGCTGGATATCCTTAGTGTGAAATTTAAAATAAAAAATAAAAAAAATGTTGTATCTCCAATAATTGTATGGTAATGAGACCCTGGAATAGATTCATTTGGAACAGTTTCTCCTTTGAGGTACCTGTCAGGATGGAAGGCTAGGATGATGATGCCTGAAATAAGGTGCTCTGGCCTGTTACAGACCTAAGTCAGCAGAATTAGAGAACAAGGCTTACCTGGAGCTTAGAGGCCATAGATAAACGTTCCCTGTACCATTTTAGTTAGTCTTGCCTCCCTCCCTCTTTCACCGTCTCTCCCTCACAACATATATTCATTACAACCATCAACAAATATTTTTAAAGCACTTAATATACCTTCACTTTGCAAACTTAAAACAAAATCACATATTTGGAAATGACACACATAATTTAGTCAATGGAAAACTATCCTAATAATTTTAGAATTCTAATAGAAAAAACTAAAGTCATTTTTTTTTTTTTCCATAATTGTAAGTATTCCTCACTGTGCCAACCTGTCATGTCAGCAGCACTAGTACTATTGAGTACTTGGGTTGGGAGTACTTGGATTGGGATATTGTCTGGGCTCAAAGAAGATGTGGTCTCTGAGGAGTCAAGTTCTCGTTCAGAGATGCTTGCGGGTGAGAATGCAGTGGTGCCAGCAGGTAAGGGGTCACTTGGAGACTGTGCACTGGGTTTTTCTGTTACAGTCAATCCTGTTATATTAATGGCAGCTAGAAGAAGGAGAAAATAAAAATGTGAATCATATTCTGAAACATATATTCAAACCCTGGTTAAACCCTGGTCCACTATGGCATGTGTCTATATATTTATATATGTAATTTTCACATAAGGCATAAATGGTGTGTCACTGTAGGAAAAGTACAGGAATGCAAGGTCGATTCAAACCACAAGATCAGCAGTACAAATTCACCAGTTGCTCTTTGGAAACCCTCTACTGGATCGCTATGGGCCAGAACAGACTGGACGGCATTTAACAACACCAACAATATGTTAACACCTATGTAAGAAAATTGTTAGGTGTTGTTGAGTCTCTACCAACTCATAGACACCTTACACACAACAGAATGAAACATTGTTGGTTTCTGGGCCAACCTTCTGTGTATATTTGCATATTCATGCATAATATACAAATATTAGTACATATAAGGATGTGGATAGAAAGAAAGAGAGGAAGAAAGAAATGAAGAAAGACAGAAAACAAGCTACAGAACAGTGGTCAAAGATAAAAATGGGGAAATTAATGGAAGGCAATTACCCCTCTACCTCCTGCCCTTTTCCTAGTCATTTGCCGGCATTCTCAACTATCCATAGCAATTGGATTAGAAGAATAGAGCCAATGGATCAAGATGATTAAAGGAAATTTTAAAAAAGAGGTTTCCAGGAGATCAATGAAATTGGGAAGAGATTATTAGGAGGCCTAAGACTCCAGGAGAAGTAAGTGAAAGACAGAGGTGCTGGCTTCATAAGGATATATTTTTTTAAAAAAGGTCAAATTCAGATAAGCCAAGAGATAAATGGGCAAAGAATTGGAAAACAAATTTCACAAACAGATATACAAATGATCCAAGTATAAAAAATTTTTAATTTCATGATAATAAAAGAAACATAATCTAAGACATTTTCTAAACACATTTTCCAAAGTTCATAGTCATTTTAAAAAAAAAATAAAGCCCAGCTGGTAGTGAAACAGGTAACAGATACAGGGCATATGAGTGTACAAATGGTTAAATTTTGCTTCAGGGCAAATTAATACCATGTACTAACAGCTTGCATTGTAGGATAAACACTGAACAGCCACAAGGTGGACAGTTCAAACCCACCAGCTGCTCCTCAGAAATGCTAAAAAAGGATCCTAGAGTTTGAACCAACTTGGTAGCACACAACAATGCTAAAAGATCTCTAAAATATCTGTGCTCTCTTAATCAAAAAGTGTATTTATTTATAAAAGAATAAGAAAATAATTCAATTTTTTAAAAATATCCATTGTGATCTCTGGTTTGTGAAATTATAGTTCTGTATTTTCTTCACATTTTCTATGTTTAACATGTACAAGGAATCTTCAAAATATCATGGAAAATTCTATTATCTTTTAATTCCATGAACTTTTTGAAGCCCCCTCATATCTCTATAAAGAGCAAAACAAATGTTTAACTATTCAGTTAACAAAAATGTGTTATAGAATTATTTTAGTTAATTTAATTGATTTTTAGTGTTTAATGTATCAAATCTGTTCTTCAGATGATCTCTAAATCCAGGTAGCATATATTCAAGGTCATATTTTGGCTCTTGTGGACTTGTTTTCATTTTCTTCAACTTCAGATTGAATTTGCATATGAGCAATTGATGTTCCACAATCTGCCCCTGGCCTTGTTTTCACTGATGATGTGGAACTTTTCCATCATTTCTTTCCGCAGATGTAGTCAATTTGATTTCTATGTATTCTATCTGGTAAGCTCCATGTGTATAGTCGTCTCTCATGTTGTCTAAAGAAGGTATTTGAAATGAATCATTATGAATTATGAATTATGTCATAAGTTCTCCAGCATTATTTCTATCACCAAGGCCATATTTTCCAAATACTGATCGTTCCTCTTTGTTTCCAACATTTACATTCCAATCATCAGTAATGATCAATACATCTTGACTGTATGCTTGATCAATTTCAGATTGAAGAAGTTGGGAGAATTCTTCTATTTCATCCTCACTGGCTTTAGTGGTTGATGCGTAAATTTGAGTAATAGTGGTATTAACCTGTAGGCGCATGGATATTATCCTATCACAGACAGCGTTGTACCTCATGACTGATCTGGATATGTTCTTTTGACAATGAATGTAACACCGTTCCTCTTCAATTTGTCATTCCTGGAGTAGTAAACCATGTAGTTGTCAGATTCAAAATGGCCAATACAAGTCCATTCCAGCTCACTAATGCCTAAGATATCGATGTTTATGCATTCTATTTCTTTTTTGACAATTTCCAATTTTCCTAGATTCATACTTCATGCATTCCATGTTCCAATTTTCAATGGATGTTTACAGCTATTTCTCTTCATTTTGAGTAGTGCGCCATCAGCAAATGAAGGTCCCACAGGCTTTACTACCACGAGCTTTATTTCATTCATGTCATCATGGTCAATTCTACTTTGAGGAGGCAACTCTTCCCCAGTTGCATTTTGAGTGCCTTCCAACCTCAGGGACTCATTTTTCTGGCACTATATCTGACAGTGTTTCTCTGCTATTCATAAGGTTTTCAGTAACTAAAGATTCGGAAGTAGTTTGTCACTCCTTCTTCCTAGTCTGTGTTCATCTGGAAGCTCATCTGAAACCTGTCCATCATGGCTAAAGACCAAAGACCTGAAGAGTTGTGGGATGACATCAAGAGCATCAAACAGGAAGAAAGCAAAAAGTCATTAAGAAGACAAGAAAGAAGGAAAAGATCCAAATGGATGTCAGAAGAAACACTGAAACTTGCTGTCCAGGATAGAGATGCTAAAGCAAATAAAAGAAATGATAGGGTACAAGAGCTGAACAGAAAATTGCAAAAGTCAGCTCAAGAAGGCAAAGTCAGATATTACAACAAAATGTGCAAAGATCTGGAGTCAGAAAACCAAAAAGGAAGAATATACTCAGCATTTCTCAAGCTGGGGGAACTGAAGAAAAAAAATCAAGACTTGACTTTCATTATTAAAGGATTCTCTGGGCAAATTATTGAATGATGCAGGAAGCATCCAAAGAAGATGGAAGGAATACACAGTCACTGTACCAAATGGAAATGGTTGGTGTTCAACCATTTCAAGAGGTTGCATATGATCAAGAGCCAGTGATACTGAAGGAGGAAGTCCAAGGTGCATTGAAGGAATTGGCAAAGAACAAGGCACCAGAAATTGATGGAATAAAAACTGAAATCTTTCAAGAAAGTGAGGTAGCACAGGAGGCGCTCACTCATCTCTGCCTTGAAATTTGGAAGACAACTATCTAGCTGACTGATTGGAAGAGATCCGAATTTGTGCCCATTCCAAAGAGAGGTGACCCAATGGAATGTGGAAATCATTGAACTATATCTTTCATATGCCATGCAAGTAACATTTTACTAAAGGTAATACAGAAATAGCTGCAAGCATACATTGACAGAGGTTCAAGCTGGATTCAGAAGAAGCTGTGGAATGAGGGATATCATTGCTGATGTCTGATGGATCTTGGCTGAAAGCAGAGAGTACCAGAAAGATGTTTACCTGTGCTTTACTGACTATTCAAAGGCTTTCGATTGTGTGGATCATGACAAGCTATGGACAACATTTTGAAAGTATGAGTATTCCTGAACACTTAATTGTGCTCATGAGGAATCTGTACATGGACCAAGAGGCAGTTGTTCAAACAGAACATGGGAACACTGAATGGTTTAAAATTAAGAAAAGTGTGTGACAAGGTTGTATTCTTTCACTATAATTATTATACCTGTATGCTGAGAAGCTGGGTTCTATGAAGAAAAACGTGGCATCAGGATTGGAGGAAGACTCATTAACAACCTGCGATATGCAGATGATACAACCTTGCTTACTGGAAGTGAAGAGGATTTAAAATATTTACTGATGAAGATCAAAGAGCACAGCCTCGTTATGGATTACATCTCAAATGTAAAGAAAACAAAAATCTTCACCACTGAACCAATAAACAACATTCTTATCAATGGAGAAAAGATTGAAGTTGTCAACATCTTCATTCTTTTTGGATCAACTATCAACACTCATGGAAGCAGCAGTCAAGAAATCAAATGGCATATTGTGTTAGGCAAATCTGCTGCACAAGACCTTTTTAAAGTGTTGAAGAGCAAAGATGTCAGCTTGAGGACTATGGTGCACCTGACCCAAGCCATGGTATTTTCAATTACCTCATATGCATGCGAAAGCTGGACAATGAATAAGGAAGACCTTAGAAGAATTGATGCTTTTGAGTTATAGTGTTGGAGGAGACTACTGAAAATGCCACGGACTGCCAAAAGAACCAACAGATCTATGTTGGAAGAACTGTAGCCAGAGTGCCCCTTAGAGGCCTGGATGGCCAAACTTCAGACATATTGTCAGGAGAGACCAGTTGCTGGAGAGGGATATCTTATTTGGTAGGGTGGAGGGTCAGAGAAAAGGAAGAAGACTCCCAGCGAGATGGATTAGCAAAGTGGCAATATCAATGGGCTCAAACGTGGCAACAATTGTGAGGTTGGCCCAGGACCAGGAAGTGTTTCGTTCTGTTGTACATAGGGTCACTATGTGTCAGTACTGACTTGATGGCACCTAATAACAACAATTGATTTTAATTTATGGGTAAGAGAAAATGACACAAATAAGGCAAGAGAGGCTGGAGGATGGGAGAAACTAGAAAAATTTAAATTAATGGAATGTGATAGGATTAAGAACTATAAGTGGTTTCTCAATAGGGATTTAAGAAAATATAAACAAAAATGACCCAAAGAAACCTTAATTGTATTCACTGATGCTTGATAAAGTAATACACTGGTAGTGTTCAAGGTAGAGTGAAATCCTTTTTACTAAATAGAGATTTAAATGATTTGATCCATATTGAATTGCCCCAATGCCAATGTTCTTGAACTATTACAGAACTGCTCTGTGATTACAGAAATTCAAAGTGATAGTACAGTTTTTGGTTGTGGTTAGTTGTCATTTGCTCATGACAATACTCAATCTCTAAAATTTCA